TATATGAATACCAAGTATTGTGGGAAATGCCTTTTATTTCTCTCCACTTTAGCAACTTTTTAGCAGCATTTTAGACCTTATACACATAGTAACCCAGCTGGTATCCCAAATATTTTAACTTGTTTACCCTTAACTCGCGAAGAACTACTTTTCAGCAGAACTCATTTTTTTTATTAAAAATTTTTCCTACCACTTCTTGAAAACCACTTTGACGGGAAAAGGTCCCTCCACTTCCTCAAATATCCTCCTCCCAATGAATGCACTAAGGAGGTAAAGTAGTCAATTTCCCGACATACGAGGGCAGGAAGCAGACCTGTATTTAATACATCCTTAAATTACTCATCACATTTTAATTACTTATCCAGCCAAAATAACCAAACGCTTCTGGTAAGACGACCATGAGCATGAACGAAATGTGCAGAGTGAAACGGTTCCACACCGCAAAATACTTACAAGACAGCACTCGACTTTCACTTATCAAGATTCATGGCCTTGCAGCAAACTAACGCTTTCTAATAGAACAGACCAAACACTCTACTGCTGAGAGCAGACTAACCGATATAAAAGCTCCATTTTTTGATGAAACACTCACAGCAAATGCCTCTTTGAATTGTTGCACCATATAGGGAGAACAGTGCAAAAAACCTTCCATAAATATACCGTCCCAGGCGAATGTTCTGACATCGTTACTGTAGCTTCGTGAAATGCGGACTGAGAACGGCACTATCCAGTATCATTTTCCTTACACAGTCCATTTCAAACACCTAGATGTTAAAAAGATATATATAATTTCTAAGGAACTAAAAGTATACAACTACCTGTAGTGTAAAGAATAGAACGTTACCGTGTGTCTTCGTGAAGTTCTCTGCACTTTATGGAACAGTATTTGGCACCGCACTTTCCACACGTATATTTTGAAAAGAACCCGCAGGCAGTGCAAAAATGACGTGGAGGTAAGCTGCTTGGCGGTGCCTTAGCACTGATATAAGCATCTCTACCATTAATTTCCGCACCTTTGGATATCTACAAGAACTGCTGTTCTAACAAGTTTAAATTAACAAACTGTTTCAGAAGAACTTATATGAGGAAACAACAAATCACAACTACGGTTCAAAAAGACTAGATAAGAAGTAATACCGTCTCTTCCTCCATTAGAGCTAAAAAATTTTTCCGAAACCGCTGCTTTGAATGCTCAGCTCGGAATTTTCTTCGTCTTCTCCCTAAAAACTTCGCGGAATATTGAAAATATATGAAATACAGGCACATGTTAGCATCTAGAAAAGTGCTTTTAACTGCTTAAAACTCGTTCCATTAGCCACTCATTTTCCTCTCCAGGCCAAGCAAAAGTTATACGAAGAAGAAAAAAAACACTTTACGAAGGAATATATGCCTGTTTAAAAAAGAACATTTATACGAGGACAAATGAAAAACCAGAAATATAACTCACCAGATTCGCCGTGTTCGGTGTCAGTCCCCTTCCTCCGAATAGGACCACTAACCTGCACCTTCTCATCCTCAAATTTTGGAATATTTTTATGCCACTGAAGCTGAGCATGCGGGTCTTCGTGGAAGTTGTCCTTAAAATGAAACTTCTTAAGAGAGAAAATGATTAATATTGAGAACCTTTTTATCAAGACATTTTTAACATATATTAATTTTCGACGAAATGCTTTAGAAATTGCCATAGAACCCATCAGTGAGACACGGTATGAATTAATCAGTTTCTAAATGACAGTTGTGTAAAATTTTATCATAAAACCTTTGATTTCTTTTTAAACATCAATACATGTTGAAAATTCACCTTCTGCTTCTCATATAAACCTGCATTATAAAACCTTCCTATTCTTTTCAAACATAAATTCATGTTAGACTTTCATTTTCGCTTTTACTGAATTACGCTGAGCAAAAATCAAAATAAGAGCTTAAGATGAATGTTTGACCCGAAAAAACGAATGCTAAATTAAAAGATTTTATGGTACGCTCAGCACAATCCCTGATAGCTCACAGTGACTATCCTGACACACTTTGTCTTCCCCCCTCCCTCTCTCGTTTTGTTTTTTATGCACCTTTCTCGACCATAAAATCACGCAGCATCATGATACCATCAGAAGCACAGCGTGACGAACACGTCTCTGATTTGTGACTAAAACTTCTCAGTCCACTTCTTTCTTTTATCTATTATCCCTTCCTATCAACGTTCTTGCAGCGTCAATAAAGCATTTTAGCAGTCTGTTATTTCGAGTCAGAGGTGCCCCGCCAACAAAAAAACTACTCACCAATCAAAAAATCGCAAAGAAAAATGAGATTATAAGTGGAAAACTTTTTGC